CAAATTGATAACGATATCCAGGACTTGAACTCAGAGTCAGAACAAATAAACACAATAGAGGTCTCCATTTTAAACACATAAAATATGCATTAACCACTTTAAACACTCAAAATATTGATCGGCCATTATTGAAACCCATTTTAGGAATGAAGTAATATTCCTTTTTCCCTCTTTTTCTTTTTTTCTCCTTCTTCTTCTCTTTTTCCCTCAAAAAAACAAAAAACAAACAAACAAAAAAAACCAAAAAACAAACAAACAAAAAAAGTGCCTGACCAAAAGACACCAATGGCCATGCCTCCAAGAAATGCCCATCATGAGCTTGATTCCAAAGACCTCCAAATTATAAAGGTTGCTTAAGCCCTACAGCACTTATCTAAAAAGTTAAGCACGAACTCCAAGTATAAGAAGGACTAGCAAGAAACAAGCAGCATAAGTATGCAGCCCAGACCCCCATGAATTTCACCACTGCGTACTAGGACCTCATCCTCACCTCACTATGATCATAATAGGAAGCTCTCATGAGCAGCTAATAGAAGAACAAAAATCCAAAGCTTGATTTAGAAATGGAACAGCTTCGTATGTGCTTCTTAAAAATGGAAGCAACTGTACTGTAGTCTCTCAATCTGAAGTGGCTTTAAAAGACTATAGTGGGCCTCGCAGTAGCTCATGCCTGCAATCCCAGGGCTTTGGGAGGCCCAGGCAGGTGGATCACGAGGTCAGGAGTTCGAGACCAGCCTGACCAACATGGTGATACCCCCATCTCTACTAAAAATAGCAAAATTAGCCAGGCATGGTGGCGCGCACCTGTATTCCCTGCTACTCAGGAGGCAAAGGCAGGAGAATTGCTTGAACTCAGGAGGCGAAGAATGCAGTAAGCAGAGACCGTACCACTGCACTCCAGCTGGGCAACAGAGTAAGACTTTGTGTAAAAAAAAAAAAAAAGAAGAAGTAGTGGCTTGATGTAACAATAAATCTAGACTTATGGGCAGGAGCACATAAAAGATCAAGATTGAAGGAATGAGATAAGGAAGTTGTTGAACAAATGAGAGTAGGAATGAAGTGAGAAAGTCTTTGTATCATACACTGATACCCACCAAAGAGCATTAACATGGAGATGGATCTAAACAGCCAAACAGCATTACTCCACCTGTCTGTCATCAGCTACCCCAGTGTTGGCACAATAGGTAGATGAATGAAATGGGCATGGTAGGAGAGACAGATGTTGTGCATGGGCATGGGTTTCCACTTACCAAGGTGAATTTAGCTGTTGCTGCCCTAAGATGTCCAACTTGCCAGAGGCAGACACTGATGCTGAGCACCTGACATATAGTTTGTCAAGGAGGACATTTAGTGGCAAGTTAACTACAAGCCCATTCGAACTTGGAAAGGCCAGAGGCTTGCTCTAATAAGAATAAACATACATTTTGGGAGTGGGTTTACTTTTCCTGGATCCTGGAATGTTTTCTCCTTAGGAAAGGATCCTTTCCTGACACTGTCAGAGCAGGAAGTTCACTTCACTGCAAAGAATATTTAGGATTGAGCCTGTGACAATTGGATCCACTGGTCATATCACATCCCACACTACACAGAGGCTGGCCGCCTGGGAAAGCATTGAAATGTCATGCTGAAGACATGGTGAAATGCTAGCTTAGAGACAATACTTTACAAGAAAAAGGTTTTATTCTCCAGAAATAGCTCCAGCTACTGGGCATCAATAGCGATTGGCTTCCATCTCCCAGAAGACTGAATCAAAACATTTTTACATGATACTGTATCTCCAGTAAAAAAAATCAGGAGTCCAAGAACTAAGAGATGGAAGCACGAGTGACCCCACTTGCCATCTCTCCCAAAGACCCAGTGGAGACCTGAACTTTCTCTCCCCACAGCTCTAGGCTTTGAAGGATTAGTGGTCCTTGTTACCGAAGGAGGCACAGTTTTGCTAGCGGATCCAGCAAATGTAGATGACACTTGTCACCAGACATTCCATGCTCCTTGTGCCCAGGGACTGGCAGACAAGAAGAGAAGTTATCATCCCAGCAGGGATCATGGACCTTGTTCTTTAGGAGGGAGTAGGGCTGCTCTTACACAGTGGGGGTGGGGATAAATATGTTTGCATCCAGCTAATACACTTGAGTGGTTTGTCATATTCCTTTATCAACTGTGATTTTAATTGTACATTCAAACATTTTTTATTTTTAAAAATATGTATTTTTCAATTTAATAGAGATAGAGTTTCACCATGTTGCCCAAACTGGTCTCAAATTCCTGGCCTCAAGCAATCCTCCTGCCTCAGCCTTCCAAAGTGTTGGGATTATAGATGTCAGCCACCACACCCAGCCCTAACTAGGAAATCTTGTCCAGAGTGTTCATTGTTGAACAGAAAGCCTCGATTTAGATGTAATCAAATTAATTTATTTTTTTTCCTTTGGTTACAGTTTGTGCTTCTGAAGTTTTATACGTAACCCTTCCCTACTCCTAAGTCACAAAAATGTCCTATATTTTATTAATTTAAAACATTCATTTCTGTTCTTAAATCTATCTGGATTCCATTTTTCATTGTGTTACATAAGGATCCAGTCTTTGTGTGTATACAACTAGTTTTCTTTTAGTGTCTATTAAGTTCCTGTATAAACGTGTCCCTGGCACTCACTTCTGTTCTTTTTTGTCTCTGTTTGTTCTTGAACCAAACCAACAGTATAATATTGTGGTAGCTTTGAACTGTGTCAGATTAGTTTTACTGGAATTACATTTCCTATAATTATTTTTTCTGTATAGTTCTGTATTTTTTGTGTTGGCCACAGGAGGCATTTTGTGTGACACTTGAAAAGTGGTAAGTGCTGGGCGCAATGGCTCACGCCTGTAATACCAGCACTTTGGGAAGCCAAGGCGGGTGGATCATAAGGTCAGGAGTTCAAGACCAGCTTGACTGACATAGTGAAACCCCGTGTCTACTAAAAAAATACAAAAATTAACCAGCTGTGGGCACACCTGTAATCCCAGCTACTCAGAAGCCTGAGGCAGGAGAATTGCTTGAACCCGGGAGGTGGAGGTCGCAGTGAGCCAAGATTGTGCCACTGCCCTCCAGCCTGGGCAACAGAGAGAGGCTCCGTCTCAATAAATGAATGAATGAATGAATGAATGAATGAAAGTGCTATGTGAAGGGGCAGCTGTCTGTCTATCTATCTACCAATCATCTATCTGCTCTGAAGTTCAGTGGAAAGTGTCAGATACAGCAACATCTTGCATGCATTGTTACTGATCTGCTGGTTTATCTTGTTGAATCAACTGGCTCATCCAGCTTCTCCAGCTCCTGTCAAATCTCCACCAGATTCTCCAAGTTCTGCCCCAAGTGTGTGGACAGTTCCACAGTGAAAGGTCCCACATTCTCCTACTGATCACTCATAGCATTGATGTTGGAAATGGCAAGAGACACACACGCTGGTTCTGCTTTGTCTTGTGGTTCCAGTTCCAGTTCGTCTTCACTGATTCCAGTTTGCCTATCCTCTCAGCCACAACTAGCTTTCCTTTCTATCTGCTAGTCCGTCTGACCTATGACGTCAACACTAGACTCAGATGCAAAAGCTTATATACTCTTTTTCCAGCTCCCATAATTGCCTAAGGTCTAACACTATGGTAAATCCATTATTCTATGAATAGAAGTTCTGACTCTCTTTTCAATTTCTGATTATATAAAAACCATCCTGCTCCTTATTACTACTGTTTATGCTTTAATATTACAAAGTAGTAGTCTACATTTAAAATGGCAACGTAGTTATTCTAGGAAATTAGTTGCCATATAAATTCTAGTGTAAATTTCCTCACAAAATCTTAACTGGAATTTTAATCAAGCTTTAAATATACAAATTAATAGATTTTTACATTAGTGTAATTATATATTTAAAATATTATATTTGACAGCATGAAGTCTTTTCATGTACTAAAATAATATCTCTGCCCTTTATTAACATCTTAAAATTTCCTCCATAGATGTCTTGTGTATTCTTGGTCAATAACTAGTTTTCTTTTAACAAAATATTCTTAGTTGGTTATTGAGGCTAAAGGCAACCAGTTTTTATTTATTTATTTAAAGACAGAGTTTCATTCTTGTTACCCAGGCTGGAGTGCAATGGCGCAATCTCGGCTCACCACAACCTCTGCCTCCTGGGTTCAGGCAATTCTCCTCCCTCAGCCTCCTGAGTAGCTGGGACTACAGGCACGCACCACCATGCCCAGCTAATTTTTGTATTTTTAGTAGAGATGGGGTTTCACCATGTTGACCAGGATGGTCTCGATCTCTTGACCTCGTGATCCACCCACCTCGGCCTCCCAAAGTGCTGGGATTACAGGCGTGAGCCACCGTGCCTGGCCCTTATTTTTTTAAACTTATTTATTTTACTTTAAGTTCTGGGGTACATGTACAGATCATGTAGGATTGTTATATAGGTATACATATGTCATGGTGGTTTGCTGCATCCATTCCCATCACCTACATTAGGTATTTTTCCTAATGTTATCCCTCTCCTAGCCCCCCACCCCAACAGACCCCAGTGTGTGATGTTCCCCTCCCTGTGTTCATATGTTCTCACTGTTCAACACCCACTTATGAGTGAGAACAAAGGGCAACCAGTTTTTTAACTGATTAAGATACTTTATTTTTGTTACAAAATGAATGGAGTTATTTAAAAAATATTATTCTTTGGTTATTGAGGCTAAAAGCAATCAGTATAGTCTTGTGTCTGTCAACCTTGCCCCAATCCCTTATGAGTTCTGATAGTTGATTGATTCTGTGTGTGTGTGTGTATGTGTGTGTGTATTTGTGTGGCTGATTCTGATGCTTGTCTACCCATTGGCCGTCTACCTTCTCTTTTATAGTAATATATCTAATCCTAAGACATGAATTAGGATTGGTTTAAAACATTACAATTCCATTTATCTTTTTAATTGGTCTAGGGACATGCAACCAAATTCTGTTCTATAAAATAGTTTAGAAAAAGCTGTCCTCTCAGTTAAGAGAAAGGCATGGAAAAAGAAAAGTCTCTCTTTACCCATATCCACTTCCTTCCTGCTTAGGAATTGATAGAAGCTGATGTGTGAGAATTTTATGCTGGGAGCTCCAGCAGCTACCTTATGATCAAAATGGAAAACTTAGTCAAAATGCAGAGGATGGTCTACCAGACAGGTGGGACAAGTGTGGGCCCTTGCTGTGTCATGAGCTCCCCAAACAACTGGGAATCACCTTCCTCCAGACTGCTTTACATTGAGGAAGAACTTTCCTAATGGTTAAGTTACAATTTGTTAAGGTCTCTGTAAATCACAGCTAAAATTACTCTGTTGGATATAGCAGCAGTACAGTTCATAGCAATACCCCTGGGGCATTCCCCTTCACATTCTTTCTTTTTCTTTTATGTAAAGATGGTGTCTCACTGTGTTGGCCAGGCTGATCTCAAACTGCTGGTCTCAGGCAATCCTCCTGCCTCAGCCTCCCAAGTAGCTGAAATTATAGATGTGTGTTGCTGTGGCTGGCTCCCCTTTACATTCTTTAATTTAATTTAGAGATAGAGTCCTACCTGTTGCCCAGGCTAAAGTGCAATGGCATAATCACAGCTCACTACAGTCTCCATCTCCTGGGTTCAAAAATTATTCTCCTACATCAGCCTGCCGAGTAACTGAGGCTACAGGCCCATACTACCACATCCAGCTAATCCTTCATATTCTTAATTACAAAATGTGTAATACATATATTATTTTCCTTTTGCCCATTTCCTACCTTTTTGTCTTGTATTTTATCTCCATATTCTCCACAGGTTTACTTACTTTAGCTCTGGACAATCTTCACAGGCAAAATAGGAAACAGTCCGCATCATCAAAGCTCTGCTGGATCCCCAGTAGAATCAGCTCTGTCTCTTTCCCTTTATCCTCTACCTAAAATCACAGGCAGTTTTACAGGCTCACTTAATATCGGGGATATGATAACCCTGTTTTGAGTATTTATAAAGAGCAAACAGTCACAGATATGAAGCTAAAGTGAACTGGGGTATAGAGAGTTTCAGGCATTTGTACAAGTCTTTGGCAAAAAGTGTCACATTGTCTTTAAAATTTCTCATCTGATTCTAATAATTTGCTTAAATGACTTTTGTCTGGTAGAGCCAAATGGAGAGATCCCAGAATAAGAGGGAGGAAACCATCAGCCCAGTAAGAGAGCATGACAATGCATGAGTGGGGAGTGGTAACCAAATTATAACAGACCAAGTATAATTAGATAATGAAAACATTTTAAACCCATAATATTAGTAAGAGATGAACATTGACTCCTTTATAAATTCTTTACTATATCAAAGAAGGGTGGCTAGAACTTCAGGAAGCTAAGCTCCTACCTTGTCAATGAATAATTCTGTGACCTTTGAAATTTTCTTTCCTTCACTCTCCTCACTTATAAATGAAATAATGGATTGTTGTGAAGCTGGAAGGAACTTATACAGGTGAAATTATAGTTGGTCCTTTGTTGTATCTGTGGTTCCCCATCCATAGATTTAACCAGTCTCAGTTAAAAATATTTGGAAAAAAAAATTAAAAATAACAAGACAATAATAAAGAAAGAATACCAATTTAAAAGTACACAATATAACAAATGCTTTACATAGCATTCACATTGTTGGTATTATAAGTAATGTAGAGATGCTTTAAAGTATAGAGGAGGATGTGCTCAGCCAATCAGCAAATACTATACCACTTTATATCAGGGACTTGAGCATCTTTGGATTTTGGTATCCTTAGGGGTCCTGGGACAAATCTCCTGATGATACCAAGGGATGACTGTACTTAGAAAAAAAGAAGATTCAATGGGAGAAATGTGAGCCACCTTTTCTTTTGTTTTAATTGACTAAAAACTGTATATATATATATATGGTGTACAAGATGATGTTTTGATATATGCATACATCATGGAATGGCTAAATGAAGCTAATTAGCATATGCATTACTTCACTTTTTTGTGTGTGCAGAGAACACTTAAAATCGACTGTCTTAGTAATTTTCAAGTATTCAATGTTATTAACAGTCGCCGTGATATACAATAGATCTCTTGAATGTATATCTAATGTTGAACTCAAAATTTGTATCTCTCGACTAGCATCTATATCTTCAATCCCCCTGTCTTATGTCATGAGTTTCCTGGCCAACAGGGAACCATGAGCCCCTGATAACCTCCATTCTACTCTCTGCTTCTATGAGTTTGACTTTTTCAGATTGGCTTTTCGTGCCTGGCATATTTCACTTGACACAATGTCCTCCACGTTTATCCATGTTGTCACATGACAAGATTTCCTCCTTTTTAAAAGGCTGAGTAGCATTCCGTTGTGTACCTACCACATTTTCTTTGTTCATCCACTGATAGACACTGAGGTTGATTCTGTATCCTGGTTACTGTAACACTGCAATAAACATGGACATGAAGATATCTTTTTGATATACTAATTTCATATCCTTTGGATATATACCCAGAAGTGGGATTGCTGGATCATATGGTAGTTCTATTTTTAATTTTTTTCAAGAACCTCCATACTTCTTTCCACAATGGCTGCACTAATGTACATTTCCACCAACAGTGTACAAGTGTTCTCTTTTCTCCACATCCTCACCAACACTTGTGTTTTCTATAATAACCACTCTGACCGGCATGAGGTGATATATCATTGTGATTTTAATTTGCATTTTCCTAATGGTAAGTGATATTAAGCATCATTTTATATATCTGTTGGCCATTCGTATGTCTTTTTTGGAAAAATGTTTATTCAGGTTTTTTGTCCATTTTAAAATTGGGGCTGACACTGGGTCCACTGCCTAAAAATTAGCCATGCTCTGCAAGGAACAGCAAAAAATAAAATAAAATAAAATTGGGTTGTTTTCTTAGTTGTGCAAGTTCCTTATATATTTTACATATTAATTTTTTTGACCTCTTTGCATAATTTTACAAATATTTTCTCCCATTCTGTAGGTTGTTTCTTCACTCTTTTGATTGTTTCTTTTGTTGTGCAGAAACTTTTCAGTTTGATCTAATCCCATTTATCCATTTATCTATTTTTCCTTTTGTTGCCTGTGGTAAGCCACCTTTTTTTTGAGTCAGAGTTTTGCTCTTGTCGCCCAAGCTGGAGTGCAATGGTGTGATCTCAGTTCATTGCAACCTCTGCTTCCCAGGTTCAAACGATTGTCCTGCCTCAGACTCCCGAGTAGCTGGGATTACAGGCACCTGCCACTACCCCGGCTAATTTTGTATTTTTCATAGAGACGGAGTTTCCCCATGTTTGTCAGTCTGGTTTCTAACTCCCTACCTCAGGTGATCCACCCACCTCGGCCTTCCAAAATGCTGGGATTACGGGCATGAGCCACTGTGCCTGGCAGTAAGCTACCTTTTTAAAGTTATTAAACTTCAAGAGGAGAGAAGTCTTTCTGACCATACACAGATATTCTCATGTCCTTTTTTTCCCTCAAAATATAAAACAGGCCAGGCACAGTGGCTCACATCTATAATCTCAGCACTTTGGGAGGCCAAGGCGGGTGGATCACCTGAGGTCAGGAGTTCCAACCAGCCTGGCCAACATGGTGAAACCCCGTCTCTACTAAAAATATAAAATACAAAAAGGCTGAAGCAGGAGAATGACTTGAACCTAGGAGGCAGAGGTTGCAGTGAGCCGAGATTGCACCACTGTACTCTAGTCTGGGTGATAGAGTGAGACTCTGTCTCAAAAAAAAAAAAAAAAACAAAAGAAAGAAAAGAAAACATGCACTAATGGGCTAGGCCTAATTTAGCTTCAGGAATCAGAAAATTAGATTTGGGTCCTACCTGTGAACACTCGCTGCCTTTCGCATAATCTTAGACAAGTTGCATTTCTTCTTTCATTCATTCTCCTTCTGTAAGTCAGTAAGTCCTCCTTAATTGTGCTCTCCCTTTCAGAGGAATAGTGTCAAACTTTGAGAGAAACACATCCAAGTTCTTAGGTTTTTAGCGTGGTAGTTAGACAGACACAACACAAGCAGGGCAGGAGAGGGCCCCCATCAGGAATGTCAGGTGACAATCAGGTGATGATCAAGTGATTGTTAAACGGTCTCTCCAAAATAATTGGTCACAGCTGGCGCCAGGAAAAAGCCTCCCAATAGACAGAAAACACCTGAAGCTGGTGATCAGCAGTTTTCTGATAAATTCTCAGGAGTTGGTCGAATGGGTTCAAACATACACACTGAGAGGCAAAATGGCAGTTTAACTGGTATATGATCTTCCTCCAGGAACACGCAACTGGAAAGGAAAAAGTGCGTCAGGTGAGCATGCACACAACTTCAGTAAACACACTGCATGTGCGGCCCCTCCCAAGGGCTGGCAGGCCATCGCGCATATGGACAGCCCACTCCAAGGGCAAAATCAAGGGAGAAGAAATGCCAACCCAAGAACCATGCCAACATAGAAAACCCCAAGTCAAGGGTCAGATGGGGCACTTGGATCACTCAGGTCGTCTGCTTGGTCCTTTTCCAAGTGCACTTTGCTTCCTTTCATTCCTATGCTAAAACTTTAAATAAACGTTCACTCTTGCTCTAGAACTTGCCTCAGTCTCTCACCTTGCCTTGTGCCCCATGGCTGAATTTTTTCCTCTGAGGAGGCAAGAATCAAGTTGCTGCAGACACGTATGGATTCGCTGCTGGTAATGATCACACCACTGCACTCCAGCCTCCCCAGTAGTCACCAGGAGCTGGGAGAGTGGCAGGAATTTCTGCAGCTTGCAGGAGTGAAATGCAATCTGAGTCAAAGAGCCATGAAGTATAAACTCAGATATTAAAAATCTGTAGGCTGGCTGGGCGCAGTGGTTCACACCTGTTATCCCAGCACTTTAGGAGGCTGAGGCGGATGGATCACAAGGTCGGAATTTCTAGGCCAGCCAGGCCAACAGAGTGAAATCCCGTCTCTACTAAAAATACAAAAAAAAATTAGCCAGATGTGGTGGTGGGCACTTGTAATCCCAGCTACTCAGGAGGCTGAGGCAGGAGAATCACTTGAACCTGGGAGGTGGAGGTTTCAGTGAGCCGAGATCATGCCATTGTACTCCAGCCCAAACAACAGTGTGAGACTCCATGTCAAAAATAAATAAACAAATAAAATAAAATAAAAATAAAAATCTGTAGGCAGGGAATTTTAGCTGGGGGTCAGGTTTTCCAAGCAACCAGGGACTTTCTTTGCTTTTGCATTTTCTTGTCATCTTGAATGAAAAATATTAAATACCATGTAACAATTTCTTTTTTCTTTGAGACAAGGTCACCCAGACTTGAGTGCAGTGGCACAATCACAGATCACTGAGGCCTCAACCTCCCAGGCTCAGGTGATCCTCTCACCTCATCCTCCCAGATAGCTGGGACTACAGGCATGTGCCACCATGCCTGGCTAATTTTTTGTAATTTAGTAGAGATGGAGTTTCACCATGTTGTCCAGGCTGGTCTTGAACTTGGGCTCAAGTGATCTGCCCATCTTGGCCTCCCAAAGTGCTGGGATTACAGGCATGAGCTACTGCGCATGGCCAACAATTTCTTAAAGATAAGGAATTACCATTAAAACCAATGATTCTGAACTCCATTCAAGTGCAACTCCCTTCTTACGATAGATATTTTATAAGACCTGCTTACAATTCTGTCATTAACTTAATAGACAACTTACAAGTGAACATAATTTTAAAAAAGCAACATAATGCCTAATTATATAAAGGAGTAATAAAAGCAAAGCTGTTTATAATAAAGTAGTATGTATTTCAATAGTGAAATATCTAAGTATGACTTCTAGACATAATAACATAGTCAGATGCTTACATCAATATGTAGAATCAGTGTAAATGAGGCAGCTATATATGTAGTCTGATATAGGTGTGTTAAAGGAAACTTTAAAACCATATGCAGCATTACTCGTGATGATGTGATGTTCCTAAATGTTGAATGCCTTGTGGTATATTTCTAACAAAATATTCCTGAAGGCTGGGCATGGTGGCTCATATCTGTAATCCAAGCACTTTAGGAGGCCAAGAAAGGAGGATTGCTTGAAGCCAAAGTATAAGACCAGCCTGGGCAACATAGGGAGATCCCTATCTCTAAATAATAATAATAATTAAAAATAGAAAAGCTGGGCATGTTAGCACACACCTATAGTCCTAGCTACTCAGGAGGCTGAGGTTGGGGGATCGCTTGAATCTAGGAGTTTGAAGATGCAGTGAGCTGTGATCACGCCATAGCCCTCCAGCCTCAGCAATAGAGCAAGGCCCTGTCTATTTTTTTTTTTTAATTCCTGGAAAATTTAAATCTATTAAACGTGCAGAAACTACTTGCTATTTATTTGCAAAATGAGTTAAGTTCTAAGTTCAGATCATTAAAAACACCTTTTTCAGTTAGCTATATGTCTGTGATGGACACCAAAAAGTATGCAAGATGTAGGGCAATTCTTACTGCATGGGACAGTCTTACACATTTTAAGAAATATTGTATTCCCAGTACCAACCCACTAAATGTTAGTCACTTCCAGTTATAATACTATAAAAACTTTCTCACAAATGTTTAAAATGGTAACCAATAGTAATACCACCCCTATTGAGAAACTCTACTATAAACAATGTCTGGCACTTGGTATGCATTTAATAAATGCTTATTGAATAGAAGAATGAATGATTATATAAATATTAAATCTCCAAAAATAACTTTAACTTCTGACTGTAAGTATTAGAAAACTCAACCAACAGTAGTTTAGACAAATTAGGATATATAACATTTCACTAAGAAGATTGAAGTTAGGCAACCCAGGATTGGTCTGACAGCTCATGATGTTATCATTGTTTATGGTTCTGTTTTATTTCTATTTTGCCATTCTTAGCAAATGCATTATTTCCTAATGAATTAAAGATGGGTGCTTCATCTCTGGGTCTCAAATCTATATTCAAAGCAGACAAGTGGAGGGAAGAGGAAAGGATTCTTGCCAGCAGACTTCCTCTTCTCTTATTGGCCAGAACTATGTCACATGATCAGTGCTAGCTGCAAGGGAAGCTATCAACCTCTCCCTCAAAGTAATACTGCTGCCATATAAAATGTAAACAAAAAAAACCTTTCAAATACATTACTAAGCTGCCAAGAAAGTAAAGGTTCCCAGAAGCTAAAAATAAAGTGAACTTGGAACCTCCTAAGAGGTGAGGAAAGTGCTAACACTTTTGCCTTAAGGACATATGCTAAACTCTGGTGATCTTAACATTGCATTTATAATGGTTTCACAGGAAGTGGGGTTGAGAACAGAAGACAAAGCTTGCAGCCTGCCCCGTGTTTGGAGTCTAATGGTAGACCTTGACTTAAAGTTGCAAAATGAAATGGCAAGCCACAGACTATAGAAAATATTCATGAAGTCGTGTGTTCAGAATATATAAAAACTTCTACAAATAGGTATTGAAAACAAAAACAACACAATTTTAAACAGGAACAAACCAAATATTGGAGAGGAGATAGAGCAAGTAGGACTTTCAGACATTGCTGATGGAAATATAAAATATGCAATCATTTTAGAAACTGGCAATTTCTTAATATGTTAATCATATACCTACTATATATCCAAGTTAAATGAAAATATATGTCTACACAAAAGCTTGTACATGAATGTTCATAGCACCATTAATAATAATAGTCAAGAAATAGAAACAACCCAAATGTCCATCAACTGATAAAAGCATACACAAGATGTAGTATATCCATACAATGGAATATTGTTTAGCTATAAAATGGTACTGATACATGCTACAATATAGATATATCTTGAAAACATTATGATACATGAAAGGAGCCAGACACACACACACACACAAAAACACATTATATGATACCATTTATACAGCATGTATCAAGAATGGGTAAACTCATACAAAGAGAAAGATGGTTAGTCACTCCCCACTTATTTCTCTTCCAGCCCTTGACAGCCACTAACCATCTTTCTCTTTGTATGAGTTTACTCATTCTTGATACACGGAGTAATAAGAATATTCTGGAATTAGATAGTGGTCATGCTTGCATAACTGTACTAAAAACCATGGAATTGTACACTTTAAATGGGTGGATTGCTTGGCATCTGAGTTACGTCTCAATAAAGTTGTTGTTAAAAAAATATATAAACTATATACATCATCAGCACTGCTACCATCCCAATTACCCCTGCCAACATCTTGGTATATAGCCTTCTAAACTCATTTCTGTGCATCATATATAGTTGCTAAAGAATGAAAATTGGATTATACCATACATATCCTTTAAGAAGTGGTGGTGGTGGTGGTGGTGGTGTTTACATACAAAATTTCAGTCTATTACCCAGGCTGGATGCAATGGTGCAATCATAGCTCACTGCAGCCTCAAATGCCTGAGCTCAATTGATCCTTTCAATTCTCCTGCCTCAGCTTCTTAAGTAGGTAGGACTACAGGTACATTCCACCACACCCAGCTAATATTTCAATTTTTCATAGAGACAGAGTCTCACTATGTTGCTCAGGCTGGTCTCAAATTCTTGGCCTCAAGCAGTCCTCCCCCTGAGTTTCCCAAAGTGCTGGGACTACAGGCATGTGCCACCACGCCCAGACTTTATAAAAAGTATTTGAAATTACAACACACATGACTTTATAGTCATAAAGTAGTATCAGACTAGAAGACCATTTTCTTTGTTCTGATTTTAGGAATGAAATGCCAGTCTTTCATCAATAAATATGATATTAGTTCTGGTATATGTATCTGGTAATATGATATCTATTTCATAGATACTCTTTATCAGGTTAAGTTTCCTCTTATTCCTCATTTGCCAAGTGTTTTTTTTTAATCATGACATGGTGTTGCATTTTTGTCAAATGCATTTTTTGCATTGATTGAGATGATCATGTGGGTTTTTCTCTTTACTGTCATATCCTATTGAGTGATTACCTTATGTTGAGCCAATCTTGCATTCCTGTGATCTCATTTGGTTATGGTTTAAAATCCTTTTTGTGTGTGTGTGTGTGTAAACTGGCACATTTTATTTATTTATTTATTAATTACATGGTCTCTCTCTGTTGCCCAGGCTGGAATACAGTGGTGCAATCTCAGCTCACTGCAACCTCCACCTCCTGGGCTCAAGCAATTCTTATGTCTCAGCCTCCCAAGTAGCTTAGACTGTGGGCATGTACCACCACACCTGGATAATTGTTATATTTTTTTTTTTTGTAGAGGTGGGGTTTCACTGTGTTAGCCAGGCTGGGCGAATTTTCTTTTTTC